TTCACCAATGCATACGCCTCCTCAGATGTATGTAAAAACTCAAAAGCCAACAATGTGTCGTGCCTCTGAAACTGAACTTATGGTCACACACACACATGCAGAGTATTCATCATGTAAGAGTCAGGGATACCAACAGCTTGGGCAGACTTGCCGTGGATTGGGATATTGGAGTCCATCAGGTTTCTGATGGCTGCAAGGCCAGATCGAGTACTGAGATTCGTGATCAAACGATGGAAAGCCGGACAATCCGAGGCAGTCTTGCCAAACTTAGCAGTCATAGACTGTCGCCATTGCCCCAGTGCCAGGAGGGTGCTGCAAGTCCCAGTCTTGAAAAGCAACTCTGTCCTGAAATAAAACACAGGCACATGTTTGACGTCCGGAACTGAATTTTCAGGCAGAAGAGGAGGAGCTTCAGCACGCACAAAATCCAACCAAGCCACATAGCATGGCCATCTTGCATGTCCTCGGTAGAACAGAGAAGACAGGACTCAGCATTCATTATTGTGATGGGCAAGCTTGTACTCTCGCTACTGAAGTAAGCACCTTCTTTTGTTCCACTTCCTGGCCAGACCCCACCCCAGGCGCTGTGTATCAGATTATCAGCTGGTGAAAAGCGAAAATGCCTTTGCAGCGAAGGGCTCTGGATAGAGCTAATCAGCTGGTGAAAAGCGAAAATGCCTTTGCAGCGAAGGGCTGTGGATAGAGCTGGGCAGACCTCGTTCTGAATGTGTTGGACCCAGGTTCTCTTCCACTTAGCCGCTCATGGGCTTGGCCCGTGTGGCAGCAGACACGCTTCCCGAAAGAGCGACGGGATTTACAAGTGTACTCTTTGGCACATGGGCAAGGGCGTGGCATGTTCCACATGAGCACCTTTGTTGCTTTCTGGTAGGGTGCCCCGAATGCACACATGTGGCACTCCCAAGCGCTGGGCTGGTGGTGCCCTTGCGAAAACTCTGGAAGCAAGAACATCAGGCCTTTGCTTGGGTTTTCCAGCGCCACTGGCCTGTGGCATCGCAAGCAGGTACGCACAACCCGCCAAGCCATCTTGACCGTTTCATTCCCAGTGACCAGGCACCGCCGATCAGGATCCTCCAGACCAGAAATGACAAGTCAAACTTCTGTTGGGATGGAAATAATTGAAAACACACACACACAGACACACGCGGTCCGACATGTTTGCCATTGCAAACCCCCACAAGGCAGCAGCGCTGCGAACGGCCAAAGGAAATCCAGAGCGCTGGCCAGGCTTTCGACGTCCTCTTCTGGCCCGTGATTAACTTTCACAAGGTGGGCTCAGCCACACCTGAGAATCCCAACTGCCAATTGGACTGCTGCCCATCCTGTTCAGCCTTGCACACTCACAATCATTGCGCCGCCAAGTCTCACCCATGACATACCCTTTCTCGATCCACCGATCGATGCAATCCTGCATTCTTGGACATGTCAGGTCCACGCCCTGCAGGATGTCCAGCCCCATTGCCAAGTAGCCTTGGGGAGCTGCGGCATTGCTATCACTTTCTCACGCCGCTCAAACGAATCAAGCAAGAAGCCCTGTGACTGCGCTGCTTGCACAAGTCTGGCGCCACCACAAAAGAGCTCCAGGAAGATTCCCTTGGACTTGCCTGGCAGTTTGTGTGGAACAACTACAATCGAGATCCAAAGGCTGGATGCATTCATTTTCTACGAACCTTGCCTTGGCCGTTCAAAAGGTCTCGAAACTGCTTATCCACATCATCTACTGACCGCAAAGGTCGGGAAGCGTGCTTCACCACTGACACGCGCTGCCCTCCACTTGGTCTGGAGCACCCGGTCTTTGGCTTCACATGTGCTTTATAAACCTTGAGGTCACCACTCTGTCCGGCAGGCACTTCACTTGCAGAGAGGCCACAGTCCATCTCGTCATCCTGAATGACAAAGAGACCATGTCCCGGCTCACTGGCTAGGGGTGTCCCTTGATCCAGCCCAGTACCATCGCTGGGAACAGCAGGTGTCCACACACCCAGGTCATCCTCGATGTGGATACTCATGTTTGGAGACGTAATGGCTGCGGCCACACGATTGCTCAAAACATCTGGGGCTGACCCCTCCAAGGTCAAACTGCAACCAGGCATCGTCCAAACACAACTCGAGTGCCTCTTGGCCGAATCACCTGACAACCGCAAACGACCTTTGGCACCACTCCCCATCAAGTAGTCATTGTCGAAGATGTATGATTGCGGCAATGCGCTGAACCTACGGGACACATGCACAAGTCCAAGCACTGCTAAGACCACTTCAGCTGGATAGTCCGTGCCTCGGGAGGGCCTCGCGAATTTCCGGGGAAAGCCCCTTCCAAGCTCGACTCCATTTCTCAATCCTCTGCTAGGCCTCAGTGCCGAGAACACCAAGCAGAGTCTGCTGGGCGACGGTCAAATCCGCATTGTTCGTCCTCCTGACGGCCCGTTCCTCACAAAGTCTAAGAGAATGCAGCAGAACCAAAGGTGTGCATGAAAACAAGTTCATGGTTTATGCGGCGCTTGAATCGAGCTGCGATAACATTGATCTTTTGAGACAAAGATGTCGCCTTGTACTTGGTTGACTCATCATCGTGAGCAGCACTGTAGTGCCAGTATCTCTGGTCAAAATCAGAGTCATCCTTGAATCTCACAAAATCCACGGTTAGGCCGCTGTTCAAGATATTGATGAACTTGCGGTCAAACTCCTGCTCCTCATCCCCTGCTCCGCCGTCCACTGCAGCTTCGTACTTCTCCTGCAGTTTTTTCAGCGCCGAGATAAACTGGAGGCCGTCGCCTATCAAAATTTTTCCCTTGGCTGAATGCACAAAGCAGCACTACAGCAGACTCTGACTGCAAGCATCCAAGATGACCATCTGGACTCTTTAAACTAGGTATGTATAACGCAAAGGGAAGTCGCGGCGGCATCCCGAAGATACTTCGCGCCATCAGATGACATCAGCAGCTGGGGATCGCGGTGTATTGTTTGGTAGAGCTTACCTGGGTAGTTTGCAGATCGCATGACTTTTGGCTTAGGACATCCCGCCATGCACAGGTCACAGACCGCAGCCCAGATGATCCTCCACGACATCCTGGATGATCTCTCGTTGTCTTTCTTCATCTGCTTCGCGCCATCCCGATTTCTCACCAGTGCTGATCTCATCCAACTTCACCTGCAGCTAAGCTGCATAAAACAACTGAAACTTCTCCACCCGCTCCGACATTCCAGAGCTCTGCAAGGAGAATTTAAGCTGCCTTGCTCCCACGCTCGACGACCTCTGGCGCCTGGCCCTGATCAACAACCTTCGCTTTCGGTGCCATAGCGCACAGCACCACAAGGAAGCTGGATCTTTACAAGGGGACTCCTCTGCAGACATGAGCTATCTGTCTATGTTTTTCTTCTTGCGCGCCGAGATCATTGCTGCCCGAATTCGAGCCACCTGCTGTTCTGGATACAGACTCCTCTGAAAACCTGCACCCCGGCCGGAGTTTTTGGCCGAAATGCCTATCAAGGATGTTGGTGTGGAAGCGAGAACACAGATCCTTAAGTATCCCTACAAACAAACTATGTAGGGAAGGGACACCGTCTATCTGGGCTGAGACCCAACACCCTACCTCATAGATAAGCATTTTCAGGCAAAACACCTATCAAGGATGCTAGGTGTCAAAGTACTCTGCACATTAGTTCTTTTTCTGGGTCTGACCCAGACTTAAGTCATTGAATTCATCTGCCACCCAGGCCCAGACCTCTCTGGCCATAGGAACATTTGGACGTAGTCAGCACAACCTGGACGGCAGCAGAAGAAGGACCAACGAATCACGTGGGGCACACCCCCAAGTAGCAGTACGGACACCCTAACATGCAACATTGGTCTCTATGACGAGCAGTCACAGTCAGATCGGGGTGGCACAATCCACAGGGTTCATGGCCTGCTGTTGGGCCCATAGAGGGCACAGAATCCAGTCATCCAATCCAACTCAAGACTATGGCGCTGCGGGCTGACGGCCGAGGGTGGACTTTTCTTATGTTTAGTTCATGTAACATGTAGTCATGGGGGGGGGGGCTCCAGGTTGCAAGGTTTGACGAGTGCAGAGTTGATTGTAGAATAGGCACATAAGGTTTTTCTCAGAAGCCAGAGTTTGTCAGCTCCAGCCATCTCAAAAAACCCTGATGCCAAGAAAGAGCTGCCTGACATGAGCTGGACCTTATTCAGCTCTGGCCGAAGTTTCTCAGCTCCAGCCAGCTCATCTAATTACACTCGGACGCCAAGAAAGACCTTCCTAACATCAGCAATAATGGCTCTGGCCGGAGTTTGCAACTCCAGCAACCAGCCCACAAGCTCTCTTACGCACAGAAAGAGTTTCCTGGATTCTGGCCGCAGTTTCTCAGGACAGACAAAGGCTGATGACATCAAAAACATTCCTGCCATCACCAGGCCCTTTTCCCTCAAGGGCCAGCTAGCCTGAACTGGACAATCCACTGACCATGTGCTCGCTGTATCAGAATTTCACTGACAGAGAACGAGAACGTGGCGAGATTTTTGACTGAGGCACTGGCACACAAGAGCACTGCCGTAGTCCGGACCTGGGAAAATTCATGGTGGCAAAACAAATCCAGGCTGTGACAGCGCGCGCGAATCTGTATCTGTACTACGTCCGCTCATTCCCTCTGCTGCGCATGGCACGCCTCCTTTCCCTGGCAATTTTTTCCCTGGAAGCTCAACCGTCTGTCGGACAACATCTAGGAAGCCCAGAGCTCCCAACAGCTTCATGCCTGTCAACTAGAATGTTTTGTCTAGGTATAGGGAGAGCCCCAAGTCGAAAGCTAGCTGCTGCAACAACTTTGCAATGTCGCTGCATGACATGTGGATCCTTGAAGAAAGTATCACATGGCCAGAAGCCATGATGAGTGAATCGAATGGGTGCGCTCGCCATTGCTAGCGCTCAACGGGCATTTGCGCCCATCAAAACTCGACTCGAAGCAGGTTCTTTCCTGCCTGGCTTGAATCAGTCGATCCTGGCCTTCTTATCGCCCTCGTTCACCGTGTCAGGCGCGTCCCGCTTCCCCTGCTGCTTGTTCTCTTCAATCATGGAGCAGAGTTTCATCTCCTCCAGCTGCAATGCAGCCATGGCCTCCTTATGGTCCGCAATCTTGCACCGGATGACAGCGAGGTGGTCACGCATTCTCTCTTGGACCGCCTCGCGGGTCACGGTAGCCAAGGTCTTCTTCCTTGTCACCTCCGTCAGATCCACGAGCACTTGGAGGGAACGGAAATTTGCTTGCTGGTTGTCTCCTTCAGCCATCGCCAACTGCCAGAAGTCCTCATCACTTGCAGGCAGCTCTTACAAACCACTTAAAAATGTATAACCCTGTCACACGTCATCCATAATTATGATTCTGTACTACTGTTGGCCCGTTGCCAAATCCAAGCAAGAGGCCATGATTGGGCTGATAGAACGGTCCACGTGGGACAGACCAGTGGGCAGGGTGGCCATGGAGACCTCCTTGATTTCATACCTCTGAGGCACAGATTTGAATTGCCAGGGAATGGATCAACGAGCTTGCTACAAATTACATAGGTCAGTTCTGCCGAAGAGCTTGTCCTGGAGGCCCTTTTGCCAACCGTAAAGGCAAGGCGAGCACAGTCCTCTGCTGTGGAAAAGTACGTTGAGCTCCATCTTGCGGCACGGATTCTTCTCGAGGATCTGCACAAGTTCATCATGGTCCGCCGGGGCGGTCAAGCGAAAGAATTTCCAAACTCCTGCGTCTGCTGTCCTAGTTGCTAGCTTTGTGACTAACACCCCAGGCCACTAGGTTAGACCCCAGCAGCAAAAAACAAAATAGTCCTGGCTGCGCTTCATCCCCTGCGCATGTCGGGGTGGCACTGATCTTCAAAGTGGCCTGATACAGGAAAAAGTCCATACCATTGACCCGTCGCAGGCCACTGCAAACATCCTTGTTAACCTCGAAGGAGCCGAGCGGGTCATCCAGCAACGTCACTTCCTGAGTGCGAATGCACTCCTGGGGCTGGCACAGGACACGCTCAACCACCTCATAGACTTTGACTGTCATGAGGTCTGCAATGGCAGCACGATGATTCTTCTTGACGCTGAAGCCCTTTGAGTCCCCTCCGCCACTCATCTTGAAGCCCAACCTCCAAGATGAAATTGTTCTGAGACTAACTGGGCAGCAGCCCACCCGCAGTGAAACTAGTTTATGATGACTGTCAGTCATGGTGTCCCAATGATTACTGAAACCCTGGTCTTCCTGGCCTCCGGGCAGAGAACTTGCAGCTCTGAGCCACAGCCTGCTTGAGGGAGCTGAAGAACACACGGTTGGGTTGGATCTCATCGTGGAAGCCAAAGGCAGGACGCACAGAGAAGCCTTTGATCGACATGACAGACGCACAGGCAGACGGAAGGAGATGCGAGGTCACAGCAAAGGGGAAGAAAATAGCTTGAGTCCAAAATCAAGGAGGAGTCCAGGAAATATACATTTCCGGAACGCGCACTGTTTGCAAGACAGCGCTGAGAAGCGTGTTGTTTCATGAAGGGCTGGACAACGTCTAAATTAGTCTAAATGCTACAGATTCACGGAGTCCGGAACCTTCTGAGAGCATGGCAGTCCGTCACAGGCAGCGAGGAATCGATGAAACAGGGTTGGGCCTGGGCGACAGACTGTGTTGAGCGACTTCCTAATCTATTGTCATCTTGCTTGAACTTGACAGAAGTGATCTCATTGGAGCTTGACTTTAAACTTTACTTCAGTCAAGTAAGTGCCACCTGACCCACTTGTGCTTCTATGGGCTCAAGCCCGATGATCTGCAGTCTTCATCTACACACTTCATCCCTCCAAAACCAGCTCTGAGAAACCTCAGGTACACTGATGGCCATGAGGTGTTATGTAAAGAACAAACACAGGTTGGGCAGATTGGCAGAGGAGCTGAGGAGCACGGTTTGAAGAGTATGGCTAGGGGCGTCGAAAGCCAACAGCCCAATGATAGGGGAAGGCAAGCAGCAAGCCAGCCAATTCACGAGGCATCTTGAAAGCGAACAGAGCCAGACCAAATCTACCTACTTGGCACTCTGCACATGTCATGCATAATGTCATGAACCCTGGCAGCTGATATTGACATTCCAGAAGCACCGGATCACACAACACAGCCTTTTTTATTACGTCTCCACTTTATCGGATCTTCGCGTCTGCAAGCCTTCCTTTTTGCTGGCCACTGACTGACGCCCCAATAAGTCAGTCTTTTAATACTACGTCCAAGCAGCTGGAGTTAACCGGTCTGATGGCCAACAGCCTGAGGCACTTCTGGCAATGGCCTGGCGCGGCCGCGGCTCAACGCATCCAGGCACAATGTAGCAGACCTCTGGACGGTGAGGCGCCGTGACCGGGCACAAACCTGGCCCTGCACAAACTCTTTGGCCATGGTCAGCTTCACGAAAGTCAACATCGTGTCACGTGCCTCAAAGATCGCCTTGCGCACATCAGAAGATTTGATCAGCTGGTCAGGATATGGGAACAACATTTCACTGTGATCACTCAGCATCTCATAGAAGATGCATCCGGCTGCCCAGAGGTCTGCTTCCGGACCGCATTGGAATGCCTTCTTCAAGTGCAACCAGCACTCGAGTGGCCGGTAGTTGGCCGTGAAAGCCTCCTGGCCACTGAGAGTGACACTGCCTTGTTTCATCTCTCTGCACAAGCCGAAATCACAAATCTTCATGAGAACCGACTGCTCACAAAGCTGAAATAGCAGCAGGTTCCCAGGTTTCAGATCCAGGTGGATGCACCCCATCTCATGTATGTATTCTAGGCCCTGCAGCAGTTGGTGAGCCACCTGCCAGCGCTTCATCATGGTGAAAGTAGAGCAGGCGCCACGGAGGGCCCGGCGCAAATCGATGTCGGCCTTTTCCATTGGCATTCCCATCGTGGCTGATGGGCCTGCCAGCAAGCCCCAAGCCATGACTACAGAAGGGTGGCGAAGCTTCATGAGGATCCTGTTTTCTTTTGCAAGCTCTTCCAAGAACTGGTCGCAACGGGCCACCTTCAATGCCCAAGGCCGCCCCGATCTGTCTGTGGCCAGGTACACAGCTCCATAGGTGCCTCCACCCAGCTTCTGCTCGAGCGACAACTCAAAGCCGCCGCCAGAAAACCGCCAGGATCGCATGCCCTCATCCACCGGCTCCCGTGGCACCACTGGCTGAGGCTTCAAGTCCTGATCCTCCTGGGTCATGGCCAAGCAAGGCAGAGCGCCGGCTCTGATTCTGCTGACTCCGGCGCAGGGCCTCTTCCTGCCAGCGGGCGGACTTCCAGGCCGCTGTCGCCGCCTTCATCCCTGTCACAGGGGTCTTCTTCCACAGTCGCTTTTTAACTGGCAACTTGACACCGTGAACAGATCGCCACCGATAGAAGAGGACAAAAGACGAGGGCGGCCGGCGCAGCCCCAATTGTTTATTGGAGACACAAACCATGATATCCAGTGTTTCCTGGATTCTAGATGCTTGCAAAGTCAGACTATGATGACCCTGCCTGGGCATGTCTGTTCACGGAGATAGGTGTGTGTCCTGATGATGGAACAATGTTGTACCATACTGACTCTCCGGGTGCCATTCAAATAGATTGTGGACCTTACGATCATTACCAAAGGCTAAAATTTGGAAAAGCCAAAACATCAAGCAGCAAAGGGATGTCCCGCCCACTGAATGTCTTCGGCTATGCGTCAGCTGAAGGATAGCGCAAGGGAGACGTGCACAGGCCTTGAGGCACATATGATAGGTTGGTTGATGTCAACGCGAGGTCATTGTTGGAGAAAAGTTCACCTATAGGTGAATTACTCGGGCGCCAATCACATGTCACTTGGAAGTTACTTGGAGATGTCTTTGAACAGTTGAAATGACTTGCAGTTCAATATTAAATCAATTTGAGGGCAGTTTGAAGTCTCTTTGAAGTCACTTTGATGTCACTTTGAGATCACGTTGAGGTTTCTATTTGAGGACAATTTGATACAAATGAAGTCAATTTGAGGTACTGAGCTGGTGAGTATGTAACACCGCTATGAAGTCACTTTGAAGTGACTTTGAGGTCACTTTGAGGGCACTTTGGGGTCTCTGTTTTGAGGACAATTTGAAAAAATTGAGGTCAATTTGAGGTCCATTTGGGGTTCTGTGCTGGCGAGTATGTAATACCGCTACTAACTGCTGACGAAATACATCTTTAGCGCTCACATCTGAAAACAAGTGCCAACATGAGACCCCGCAGTGAAGTCTGAGGTTGCTGCAAGTACAGAACCCAAGAAGGTGGGAGCGAAATCTATGACCTGAGACATGGGAGACTGCAATATCAATTCTCTCGCGCAGGCCAACCACCATACATGCGGATCCCGAGGCTTTGTGTCCACTTACTGCCTAAAGAACATTCCACAGGCATTATCCTCGTGAATGAAACCTTAGCTGAAGCAATGAATCACTGCAGACCGTTTGACAGCCGGAGCTATTGCAACTCCAGCCACACAGACTCAAGCACAGAATCACTGCGGACAACTTGCTTAACAGCCAGAGCTTCTGCTGCTCCAGCCACACTGAAATCTGAATCTGAATATTGAAACCTTCACTAAATCACTCCTTCATGGTAACAGCCGGAGCTACCACAGCTCCAGCCGCACAAAGTAAAGCATTGAATTCAGAATCACTGACCAACATTTCTGAAACAGGTGAGCTCCATCCACACTGAATCCGGCTCACTACAAACCAGATTCCTTGATGCGCCCCACAATCCGAACTAAGTACTTGAACACCGTGACAAAGAAATTCCTGAGATGCCCCACCGATGCCTCAGCCACATGCCTGAGCACACTGGCGAGTGGAGGATCAAGTTCTGTTGCTGTCGCTGACAGGAGAGCTCACGCAAACAGCTTTCAAACAGGAATGAACGAGGGGACGGCTAGACTTGAAAGAACTGTTTAAAATCTCTGTCTTGTGACTTTGTGCAATAACTTGAGCTTTCCAGTTGATCAGTTGTCAAATTGCACCCTGCCTGAACAACAACCCACGCAACTCTCCCCACTCGATTTGATACACTCCCTACAACGGAAATCCTGCGAAAAGAAGCTGTCAGGAGGACGCAGCCTCAGGCCAGGGCACACAGAAGCCACAGATAGAAGATGACGTCCTCGCAGGCAGGGCAGCGCAATATGAGTTAGACCTGCGTTCTTATATTCCTGAACCCTTTGAGACTTCATTGCACTACTGAACATCAATTCAAACATCTCAGGAACGCCCCGTCCCTTTTTCTGCGTTGCTCAGCGCTGCTGCAGACATTGGCACGGGCTGACTATGCTCTGCAACTGCACCAAAGCAAGAACAACAATTCTTTCTATGAGCTATGGTCTTGAGTCATTGAAAAGCAAGCGCAAGACAGCCGCGGCCATGAGCAGGAACCAGCAAATTACTGTAAAGACGCTACCTGGATTGCCATCGTCATGATGACGCTGCCCCGCGCAGGCGTCAACAGTTATGGCTATGGGACTACTATTCTCTCTGAGAAACTAGAGTTTAGAGGCGTAGAGGTAAGCTGCAGGAGCCAGGCTGGCGATGATGTGAGCGATGAATCAGTCTGATGTCACACAGCCCGCCCGGAGCATCTCAGCAGGCTGTGAAAACTCGAGGACGATGAAGGACGAGTCACTGAAGCCGGGCCCACATCAGTCCTGGTCGAGGTTGGAGACAGCAGAGATGATCCCAGGTCAATCCAGGGCTGGATCGGGGAATCTACGTTTTCAAGGCTGGAGGGGAGAGGCGGTGCTGCGTTTACATACAAAACCCTTGACTCCACTGAACTGGAATTTCTGACAGTCCTTCCTAGGTCTTGCCAACTTCGTTGCAGGTTCAGACGGAGCTGATGGAGCCGCCCGCTTGCTCGGAAACTGCGGGATCTCGAGCGCGACCTTCTGGCAGATGTCCTTGGGTCCTGGAGGCTTATTGTTGCCAGCTGAAGCATGATAAACCCGTACCTGCTTATCAGGCCTGTTTGGTTCGTTCGATTCAGAATCGGGTAACCCAAAAATGAAACTGAGCGGCATTCGCCTCCATCTGAGATGGCTTTGCAATGACACCACTTGAAACCCAGGTGTCCAGCAAAGCAGTGGCAGCAGCTCTGTTCTCATCCCATGTGTCTCGCTGCTGCCTCAATCAAAAGGATCTCCATTTCATTTAAGGTAAGTGATGGAGATTTGAGGTTTGATATCGAAAAATGCGGAGACCTCCCCAAGGCACGTGGCGACGACCACCTCCACCAGGTTGCGCAGCCCAGCCTTCCCCACTCCCTTGAGGTGGCAGCTGACGCAAAAAAAAGAGGGCAGCGCTTCGACAGGCAAAATTGGTGCCTTGCTGTGGAATCTGGAATCGAACCAACCCTGTGACAAAGAGAAAGCCTTTTACCTAATCTAACTTTCAAAATGGACGATCTACCAAACCTCCGAGCCAAGAATCGAAGGAACTTCGGCATCGCGCCCAGTCCACCCTGGTGCACATACGCAGCCAGCACCGGCAGGGCACGCTTGCTACCAACCTGAAACCATCGCAGCAAGTTGGACAAGTTGCGGCCGTCCTCAAGCCCGCGGAAAGAGTGGATCATCTCCTGCAGGGGTGAGTGAATGGAATAATAGATCTTGTTTTAACTGGATTTGGTGTTGGACCAAATGCAACGAAAAACCTGGTGACCAAATAACTTGAGAAGATCAGCCCCGATCCTCAGCGCGCTTCGTGTCCGCTGGGCCAGGCTTCCATGAAGTAGCAGCTACAGCCTCAGCCTCCTGATCCGCCGTTGCATGCTCCAGCCTTGCCGCCTCCACCAGGCGCTGAACCTCTTGCTTCATCTCTGCCCGCATCTTCTGCGTCATCTCTGCCTGCATCTGCTGCTTTGCCTCTGATATCTCCGCCTGCATCTGCTGCTTCAACTGTGAGTTGCTCAACATGGCGAACCCTCATTGGAATTTACCATGATCATTATAAGGGGCATAAAGAAAGGGGCCCCCATACGGCCATACGGGATCTATAGTGAGAAATACCCCCCTCCTGCATGACGTCCTGCTTCAGCGCTGGAAGCAGCTCAGCGCAAATCTTGACGGAGATCTTCTGGCGCATCTCGTTCAGAGACTCGGTCATGGCTTCTGAGGTTGCCTGGGTGACTTTGCTCTTGAACTTCTCAATCTGCTCACCGATCATCCTCAGGCTAAGCCCCAAAGATAAAATTAGGCTTGCCTATCATAAGTTCAAAGACCAATTGACCAAAAACAAAAGCAGACAAATGCACCCACGAAACTCTGTCACGGCTTGGCTGCTGTGCTGTGTATGGTCACTCAGCCGCTCCTCCAACTTCTCAGCTGTGAGGCATTTAGAGATCTCCCTCTCAATGGCGCTGAGGGCAGCATCAAAGACCTGACCCTGAACCTCTGACAGCTGCTCCTCCACAAGGTCGATGCGATCATCCCTCATCCGGTCCTTCAGGAACAAGCAACCACAGAATGGGCTGTTTTTGTTGTGAGGGTGTAGGTTTCAAGGGCCATAGTATAGGGTCAAGGAGTGAAGTCCAAGGGCTCCACAGGCTGTGCCCAGAAGAAAGAAAATACACCCTTCCCACAAGTCTCCCCCTGCCCAGCCTGCTCCCGGCGCTCAGTCCGGTCGACGCCAGACGGCTGCGCCCTCCTCTCCGCCGCCGTCTTGTTCTTCGTGCGAGCCATCAAATGCACAGGGGGGTGAGTCAAGTTTGAAAACATGTGACAGGTAAATGCGTGTGTGTGTGTCTGTGTGTAAAAGTGTGTGGAGTGAAGGGCCACGGGTCTGCAGTGTGTTTAGCAGGGGCCCCAGGACGCCAGTGAACCGCCATTGTGCACTGTAACGAACCTCTATGTCTCAAAGCAAGGTCTGCCCTGCGCCAATCTTTAAATGATTTGTCAACACGTCGCCCTGAATCTTGAAGTGGGGCTGCAGGTTCAGATTTGAGGTGAGCAGGACGGACTTCAATTGAGGTTTTGAAGCTTCGGGGCTTTGGGGATCATACTGGGGAGGTCAGCAGTGGTGGTTCAGTATTTGGAGTTGGATTTCCGTGCCGAATCCATGCCTCCGCTGGGCTCCCCAGCCCCAAATCTGAAAACGTTTGAAGAGGCTGCATGGAGGACAACAGATAGCAACCCCCGACCCCCGCAGCCCAACCTTTACTCCAATCTCTCAACGGTTG